TCTGAAATTCTTTTGACGCCGTCGACGGACCAGTCCGTCGACGGACATCGACGGAAAACCCGTGTTGTTCACACAGGGAAAAGCGACGGACAAATCCGTCGATGGCCCGTCGGACAATCTGGTCACGTGATCCAAATCATACGGGCTCCACCATCGGATAAGGCAGCGCAGCAGCCCATAGACCGCCACATGGCAAGCCGCGCGGCCACATGCCAGGATGCACTCTCTTGCAGTAAGCTTGCTGTACTGTCGCATTGGCAGGCTTTTGGAGGCAGGAGGCACTGGTTTGAAGCGCAGCGTTGTGCACATCATCAAAGGGACGAAGCAGCAAGGGCATCTGCCAGGCATTGTTCATTGATGCAATGGATCAAGTAGACAACCTAGTCTTGAAGATGATCATGGCAGACGTCTCTACAACCATTAATAAGATGCAGAGCACGTTTGTGAGTGATGAAGATCTGGCCCATTCATACATTGTGCCTTTCTTTTTCATCTTCATGGTCTCCCTCGTTGCCATCTATACTGTAAAAGCTGAGGAGTCCCGCAAAAGGAAAAGAGAGTGGTGGAGGTTTCCCAGGCAGACTGTCACCTGGGAAGTAGTGCAAAACACGGTGTGGATGATTACGCCGGAGCTCAGAGATGCCAAGTGGTTTGAGACTTACAGGATGTCTTGGCCTCTGTTCTGCTTTGTAGCAGAAAAGATCAAGCCTTTCATTGAGAAGGAAAACACAAAGTTCCGGAAGGCTATAGAACCAGAGAGGGCAATCGCCATGGTAATCTACCGTCTCGCGCACGGACACTCTCCAAAGAGGATAGCGGAGGAGTACAATGTGGGGGCAAGTACTGTCAGTATGTACACAATCCTAGTAGCTCAAGCTCTTGCTGTAGATCTGTATTCTGAGTTCGTTAAAATTCCATCTGATCAGGAAGCAGCGGCTATCATAGCGGGGTTTCAGGCTTTGACGGGGCTGGTCAGCATGGTTGGCGCAATAGATGGGAGCCACATCAAGCTTTGGCAAAAACCCCCTGCAAAGTACGGGCCAGCAGATTACTGGTGCCGTCATGATATCCACAGTCTGCTTCTTCAAGGGGTGTGTGATCACCGGAAAGTCTTCTGGGATGCGTGCGTGAATGCTCCGGGGGGCACCCACGACGCTGAGCACTTTCGGGACAGCAGGCTGTACAGAAAGTTGAAGAACGAAGGGCTGTTGACACGCCCGTTTGCGCGCGCCGATGGCAAGGTCATTCGTCCTTATCTTGCGGGTGACTCTGCTTACCCGCTGTCTACGTTTTGTATCAAGGCCTTCACCTCAAAGAGGACGGGAACGGCAGACCAGAATGCATTTGATGCGAACTTCAGGGCTGGAAGGGTGATGATCGAGAATGCCTTTGGGATCCTCAAAGGCCGCTGGCGTATCCTGCAGAACTTGAATGTCCGACTCCAGTACTGTCCGAAGGTGATTCTTGCATGCGTGGTACTCCACAACATCTGTCAGTTGCGGGAGACGTACCTGCAGGGAGGAACTCCAGTTGCCCGTCACTATGGGAATGGTGGTAGGGCGGGCTTCCGCTATGCGAGCACCGAGACAGCACAGTTGCGAGCAGGAAAAGCAAATAGGCTGGCCATTTTCAATCAATGGAAAGCAGACAATCACC